GGCATCGCTCACGACTGGAGCATTTAGCCAAGCCGACTGCTGCAAAAGGAGGCCAGCATCATGCAGACTGCTGCCGGCATGAACGTACCATCACGAAAAACTTCAAAGTGACCCGTGGTACCCTGCAGACTGCAACCACAACATGAGCCTCTCAGAGGGAGACACCACACAGGCAAAATGGAAATCGCTCACACCGGAGCATTTGGCCAAGCCGACAGCCGCAAATCAGCTGGCATCTCGCAGGCTGCATGCTGACAGCATGGAAAACATCGCAGGCCTGAAGGAAAAATGAATCACCAGTGGAAATCAAAAGGGGCAGCACCAAACATTCGCTTCACAATGTTACTGCCGAGGATATCAGCGCTCAAATCGTCTGGAGCATTTCACCTAGCCGACTGCTGCAAAAAAAACGGTGACATTCAGCAGGCAGCTGCCACAGGACATGGAGGACCAGTGGTACACGGCGGACTGCCACCACATAAAATCATCAAAAGAAAGGCAGTGATCAGCAATAGCACCCGCATGGCCACTGCAAATTGAAAAGAAATGCAGTGACCGGCAAATGCCCCCGCGTTGCCGCTGCAAAGGTATCGGAGTAAAGCAGTAACCAGCAATTGCTTCGCAATGCTACTGGTGAGGGGTATCAGGGCTCAACTCAACTGGAGCATTTTGCCTAGCCGACTGCTGCACAATGTTTGGCATTCTGCAGGCCGCTGCCAGCCCGGGAAAACGAAGCGACTATAAAAATGGCAGTGACCAACAATTGCACCGCAATGTCACTGCCGCAAATTGAAATGCCGTGATCAGCAAGCGCCTATGCATTACCACTGCCAACAGAATCAAAAAGGGCAGCACCAAACATTCGCTTCGCAATGGTAGCGCCGAGGCTATCAGCGCTCAAATCTCAGGTGGAGCATTTCTCCTAGCCGACTGCTGCAAAAATGGTGGCACTCAGCAGGCAGCTGGCACAGGACGTGGACGACCGGTGGTACATGGCGGACTGCTACCACCTAAAATCATCAAAAGAAAGGCAGTGACCAGCAATAGCACCCGCATTGCTACTGCAAATTGAAAAGAAATGCAGTGACCGGCAAATGCCTCCGCCTTGCCGCTGCAAAGGTATCTGAATAAAGCAGCAACCAGCAATTGCTTCGCAATGCCACTGCCGAGGGGTATGAGGGCTCAACTCAACTGGAGCGTTTCGCCTAGCCGACTGCTGCAAAATATGCGGCATTCTGCGGACAGCCGCCACGTAACGAACGGAATGAGATGCGGTACCCGGCAGACTGCTACCACAAGAAAGGACCTCCCTCCAGTCAGGAGAAACACCCATCAAGATTTTCAAACCACTCCGACAGCTGCCACAGAGGTCCCTGCAACCACTCGGACAGACAATGAGTCCACACCCAGAGGAGAAAGGCACAAATGAAATGGAAGCCCATAACATCCAGGAAGTCATCCAACTTGCTGTCACTTCCAAGGTCGGCGGGCGTGACAACCACCCACTGGCACCAAAGGAAGGCGTCCATGCACTGCTGAAAAATCCGTAGTCAAACACAGCACAGAACTCGCCTCACTCCCGTCAGAAGAGCGGCCCCCTTTTCAGGCCTCCACGTCCAAGCGCTGTAGAAGAGCCAGGCAACGAGAGTCAGCAGCGCACTAGACAAGGTCTTGGCAACAAGAGTAGTAGCAGAGGGCGTCGTTTGCAGGAGGTAGGTCTCGAGCTTCATCAGGGGAGCACTGAAGGTCTCGTCAGAGGCTTCCGTGAGCAGTCCCGCCGGCAGCGGGGGTCGAGCCTGCGGAGGAGGCGGCTGCGGCTTCTTGTTGACGGCCACCGCCGGTGGCGCCGGACTATTGGCCGGGGTGGAAGGCGTCACGCGGGCCTGCTCTGGCCGTCTTGCGAGGAAGTCGTCTACGCTGCAGAGGAGGCTCCTCCGCCATAGCAGCAGCCGGCCGTAACACATAAAAGAGCAATGACAATACGCCCGACAAGAAGAAGACTTGTTGAAGCTGCAAGCCCAAATTTTGAGAACCAAGCAACATTAACTCGTTGAGCTTCATGCCCAAGCAGCGCAGTGCCGCCCAGTCCAGGGCGTCTCCCAACAGCATCCCCTCAACATGGAAAGCTCGCAGAGTCTCACGAAGACGGGTCCGCTCCTGAAGAGGCATAGTTGCACTCAACAAACAAATTTCATCACATAGTCTCCAAGGGGATGTCCTGAACTTCATCCCACCAACCAATCCAGCCAGCGCAGACGTCCGGATCTGGGCTGATACCACCCCTAGACAAGGGTTGGTAGTAGGGGGGGAAGGGATTCCAAACCAAGGCCAGCCAGGCCCGCCATCCCAACGCCCACACTCAGCTGCTTCACCCCGTCTCTCCTCCCCGGCCAAGGCCCACCAATGAGAGCCTGGGGCCGGTTCACGATGACAATCGACTGATCACCTGCTGAAAATAAACTGAGGTGACACTGCATGCCCGGCATGGTATACGTCACAGAAAGAACTTGAGAGCATGGCATGTCCAACCAGTCCCCACAGACAGGACTGCTCTCTCTTGAAACCAAATTCACAGATCTTGAAAAACCCGCGTTGCGTTTGAAATAATTTACGCGGTTCTTCATCACCGGTCCAACTGGTCCCCACAGACAGGACTGCGCGCGTTTTGGAGCAAACTCAAAAAAAGGTACATATATCCAAAACACCCTGGCTTTGGCGGAACGATGAACGTCACCGGATACCGTGGCAACTAGGGCAATGGGCCGGGACAATTTGCGCAGGCCCACAAAAAATCCTGCTCTCACCCCCTTTGCATCTCAGTACTCTTCGGCAGTCGATGGCTCACAGTCTCTCAATGCAGTCACCGGCCTCGTCAACAGTGGTGCGGCAAGGTCAAGCCAATAACGATCCAGGGAGCACACGATGGACTCCAACGAGACAGGGCGCCGCGACATTCAATCCCAAAGACCATCACTCCCTGCGGACAAACTGCAGGGCCTGATCACATTGCGGCCCCCTGGTAAGACACAGGGCATGCCAGCTGAAAGAGATCCCAACACAAGACTGTGCGAGGCACATCGTCGGTTACCTTTTCCATAACATACACCCAGAGGCCAACATTGTTGCCCCACAGCCACCACCAATCAGTAGGAAGGCCCGAAAAGTACACGAAACCATGCCCATCAGCAATGAGGAAAACTAACACAGCAGGTTCAGCCTCGCCGTTGTACCCAGGTCGCTGCCAACGACGCTCACGAGCGGCAGCATCGAATGTTGCATCGGAGGCTGCGTTCAATTACCCCGCAGGCGGCGGGGGTCTGGCCTTGGCAGCGGGCGGCTGCGGCTTTTTCGTGACGGCCACTGCCGGCAACTCCGGGCCCCTGACGGGGGCTGTAGGCAGTGCCGCAGAAGCAGGGGCCACCTGCTGAGGCGCAACCGGCGCCGCCGTCTTTGGTGGGAGGCGACGCTTCTTCAAGGGTCCAAGGAGACACCATGCCTGGCTCCAATGCTGCGGCCTGGGCCTGGCCCTGCCCGAGGCATACACTCCGGACAGGAGCAGGCGTTGCAGCTTCACTGAGGGCCAAAGTCCGGGTCATCCAACCCAGGGATGTGTAGACTCTGGTAGGGCCATGATGCGCACAAAGAGCATAGCCAGAGCACGGTATTCAGGGAACTGAAGGCCCAAATGTTCCATGTATCTCAGGAGGTCCGTCCAGGTGTGCACCACTCACGTCACCATAGCCGCTTCCATCTTCACGCAAAGCCACTCCAAGCAAAGGCCCTGAGTTGGTAAGGTACTCGTGCTCTCGTGCAAAAGGGGAGGCATCAGCGTCACCATAACACCAAGCAAGTCCTGGAGGAACAAAGAGGCGACACCCCTCCCCGCACCAGACGGGCGCTCGTCGGGCACACACTCGCGGACAGGCCGCGCAAACGAAGTCAGTGTAGGCCTGGCCACCGAAGGTGAGGACGAGGTGAGAAGCGCTGCTGCAGAAGACGGGACTGGCACACAGTCTCACATGCAAATGCCCGCGGCCCCGGGCAGCCAGGCCCGGCTCGCTCTCCTGCCGGGCTAAATCCAAACCATCGGCCACAGCTCGCCCAGCCTCCCTCAGCGCCCCAGCATAAGACGTGAAGTAAAGGGCAAGGTCACTGGCCGTCACAATGCCAGCAGCCGTGCACCAGGTATTGAACTGCTCCTGCTCCACTGCGCGGCACATGTGCAGATCTTCCATGGCAACGCAGGAAGAGAAAAACTGATGAAGAGTCAGAGACACTAGACTCTTCAGGAGCGGCACTCCTTTCATCTTTTTTGGCTTGAGCCGCAAGCTTCAAGGAGTGCACTTAAAATGAATGACATCAAATAATTCCTCATCACCGCCCCTGCCTACCTTGAATGAATGAATATATATACATTGACATAAATATCCTATAAGTGAACACAGAAACGCCTATAGAGGTAAAGAAGGAAGTGCATAAGAAGAAAAACAAGCTACTGAGGTGGGTGGAGTCTGCTGGATTTCTTTTGCACACCGCAAGGGCCGGTCACATTGTTTGTGAGAAGGGCTTTGGCCGACGTTGGCCGATGCCACCCGCTGCAATCTCTTCTCTCCTGCCCTCAACGGACCGCATCATTACATGAACTCGCGCCCTATATGCGGTGCCCTACTGCGTACGGTTGACAGGCGTCTTCACCATCAAAAAAGGGCACCCCCAAGCAACTCCAAGATTTCTTGCAAGCCCTCTTTTCCTACCACGTCTCTTCCGCTATGCCTGGCTTCCACCCTCCCCACAGCATTCTGTTCCCTCTCCCGCCCTCACAGATCACACACTCTCTTAAGAGACACACATCTCCCTTTCCCCCCTTGGTCGAACACTATTTCAATGGAGGAGTTCCAACCACTTTTCGCGCCCCGTTGTCCCCTCTTTCCCATCATCGACATGAACTCCCACCCCTGGTAGAACACGGTTTACATTGCCTCCTGAGCCCCTCATGATGCTAATGATGCACTATTCGCCGTCAAAACCATCCATGTTCAATCCCAAGCGGACCTGCGTTTTTTCCGCTCTCCCTCACCAGGCTCTGCGTTAGCCCTCCGAAATTGGCCCATGTGCGATCACCCCCCCCTACTCAGTTCATTCGCCCAACCCAACTTCAGCCTAGCCTATCGGCTGGCTTTCGTGATATATATGTAGACAAAATCTTGCTTGTCGCGGTGCCATCCAGTACCTCCATTCGTCTACTTGACCCAGATTCTTTCTCTCCCTCCTCTCCCCCTCTCTCTCCTTTTCACCCTCTGTTCTTCGCCCTAACTTGTTGCTTTCAGGCCTTCGCGTCCATAGTTCGAAGTGTTTATGCCATGCCTATTGAGAAGTTTCTGCACTTCCATCTGCTGTGCCTTGGACAGCCAACAAGCAGAGTTTGCCAGGGACCACCGCTGTGTAATCTTTTGCATATGTTGGTCTTTCTGCAAAAATTCCAGCTGGCCTCACCCGGGCCCAAGTCATGAGAACCTCACCAAAAACAGTAGGGAAATCACACAACAAAAAGCCTTTTTCGCAAACTCTGGACACACACGGAGGACAACCAAGATAAAGAAGGATCACAACACCCAAGAATATGAGATTGAAAAACATGCATCACAAGACACTCAAGAAGCATGTTGATCCAAAGAAGAGTCCACACACTTCTGCTCTGACACAGTCGAGCGCTCGTTCAGTGCGTCTGACACTGTCTACTCGCTCTGTGCAGCCTGTAAAGTACGTGCACCCCAAGACGTTTTTTACTTTCTCCAGTCAACTTAGAAACGAAGCTATGTGAAGAGCACGTCTACGTATGGAAAATAGCCAACATAAGGCACAGTACCGTGCTGTACGGACCCACTTCCCCTCTTGTGTTGAAACTCAAAGGAAGTGTCGCATTTAGCACATGGCATGCCCCCAGTCTGCATGTTGGATCCAACGCCCAAGAATACAGGGAGCACATCAAGCGGCACACATCGCATGAACCTTGCGCACGCTTAGTGGCTTGCACAAAGCCCCTACCATGTGAGGAGTGGGCTACTTTGGAACCTTTGGAACCACCTGGGTGGGGCACGAGCACACGATGTGGAGTGAGGCGGAGGCAGAGTTCTTGAAAGAGGTGTCAAAGAACCGCCAAGGAAGGAGCCAAGGCCACGGCTTGATACGGGAGCACTTCGATGGTTTCCAGGAGGCCTAAGTACTTCAAGCACCCAAACCAGTATCACTTATCGCCATAAAATATCTACCAATATGATCAACACTACTTTACTGTCTTTGATAAGGGTAACGCTACACGAGCATTTCATAAGGCTTAAATAAAGCCGAGTAGACTTGCATGGTTCTGTTTGCAAACCCGTAAACCCGTGAATGATGACTCAAACCAACAAGTACTAATCAGGGTATGGAGCAACACATACTCAATTTTAGCAGGTAGTGCAAGCGCTTGCTGTTCTTGCAAAATTCATACTCAATTATACATGATGACAACACCTTTCGAGCATTCCTGGTGTCGCTGACAGACAAAACGAAGGCTTGCCAACCTGCCAACCTGAGAAACCGAGCAATAAGCGACCATCTTCTCCGCTTTCTGCAACCTCAAACTGTCATTCATTGAGAACATGCTTCACCAAAACCATGTCTTTTCACTAGCAATCCTACTGTGCAGGAACTTACAGACTACTGCCAACCGGCAGAAGAGAAGAAAACTGAGACTTCTGAATTCTAAGACCCTAACAGCAGCCTGGACTGATTCAATTGTTCCCATCAATGCCTGAGGGGAACTTGGAAACATGTCGATTGCTTCCTTACTACTAGTTAAGTTTCCCAAAAAACCTGGGAACTAGGAACCAAATCATTATTGCCAGCGCTTCTTCTTGGAAGCTTCCTTGAAGAAGCGCCAGCTATCCTGCGTCCAGCTCCTAGTAGCTTAAGTAAGCGGCCTCCCCTAGCTACTACTATCGCGGCCTAACCCCCCCTTAAAAGAACATGGAACCCACGAACCTGAATGCAAACACGTACTCGAAAACAAACGCCCAAACATGTTTTGACTGTCTTGCAGGGGACACTCTTGTAGAAGGCTCTTGTGGGACACCCTCGCGCGACACTTTCGTCGCTCTGTGGGACACTCTTGCAGGCCACTCTTGTAGGACGCTCTCGCGACACATTTTGTAAGACACTTTTGAGGAGTCTTGTGCAACACTCTTGCGGGGACACTTTTGTGGGACACTCACGTACGACACTCACGTACTCAAATGTCACTTGGCCACAGAGATGACAGTTCTGAGGCCACAGCTCCCAGAAGCTGCTTCCCGCATTGTGTTTGTGCTACAAGTTGCCACTTCTGAACACTCTTGTGGGACACTCTTGTGGAACACTCTTGTGGGACACTCTTGTGTGACACTCTTGTGGGACACTCTTGCTGAACACTCTTGTGGACACTCTTTGGGGACACTCTTGCAGGAAACTGTTGTCGGACAATCTTCTAAGTCACTCTTGTTGGACACGGGGCATTCTTGCGCAAAACTCTTGTAGGACAGTATTGTGGGACACTCTTGTATGACACTCACTCGTGTGGGACACTCTTGTAGGAAACTCTTGTGGGACACTCTTGTAACACACTCTTGTAGGACACTCTTGCGAGACCCTCTTGTAGGACACTTTTGCTGGACACTCCCGTATGTCACTCTTGTTGGACATTCATATGGAACACTCTTGTCCGACACTCTTGTGGAACACTATCGTGGGCCACTCTTGTGGGACACTCTTGCGGGTCTGTCTTGTAGGACACTCTTGTCGGACACTCTTGTGG